TCATGTCTTTTGTGGGAACATGGATGGATCTGGAGGCCATTATCCTTAGCAAACTAACACAGGAACAGAAAACCAAATACCACATGCTCTCACTTATAAGTGGGAGCTAAATGATGAGAACACATGGACACATAGAGAGACATAACACATACTGCGTCCTATTGGAGTGTGGAGGGTGGGAGGTGGGAGAGGATCAGGAAAAACAGCTAATGGACACTAGGCTTAATACCTGGGTGATGAAATAATCTGTACAACAAACCCTCGTGTCACAAGTTTACCTAATAACAAACTTGCATGTGTGCCCCTGAACTTCAAAGTCAAATAAAAATAAAAAGTATGTAAAATTGGTTCCTTATGCATCCTCTCTGAGAAGCGATGAAAGAATTTTAAGGTCAACAATATGAATTATATATGAAGCAACCTTTAAGGAATCTATTAGTGTGGGAACTGTATATATCAAGTGATAAAAACAAGACTTAATATCCGGAGCTATAATGTGTATGTGGTAAGTTTGCATATCCTGGTGTAAGTTGAAGCAGGGCCAGGCACTCTGATGGTTAAATGGTGGAAGAGGTGCTGTTATGATTGGACCATCTCTTTAAATAACTCATATAAATAAAACTCAGATATCTGTATACTTAGTCTCTCAACCCCTTGTAAATCAAAGTAACCCCTTCATCTTTGTCATGGAAGATAATTTCTTTGTGAGCAACACAGCTTGCCCAATAGGGTTCCTTATCTTGTCATCAGGATGAACACCTTTGTATGTTAATTAACAGTCATAGAGTTGGGACAGTGGCTTGATTAAATGAACCATGGACTAAAGGCTCAAATGTACAGTATGATTTCCACAAGGTAATAAAACTGAAATTTAAAATCAAAAGTTTATACAAAAGTCTTTCAAACATTTGAAAATGCAAAGATACAATATTAGAAGACTGTTAGGCCAAGCAAGAAAATGTAATATATATATATATTAATTATATGTATATAATATATATTACATATATAAAATAAACAAGTCACTAAATATAAAATACATAGTCTAAGATATTTACAGAGAT